ACAGTTATTTAGTGTCAGGCCCTGTGGATGTACTGACTCACAGCCTAGTATTGGAGACAGAGGTAGGAATTAATAACTTCAGTATACTCTATAAATGCCATAATAATGGTGTATAGAATACTGGAAGACTGAGAATGAAGCAATGGCCACAGGACACAAAAGTCTCTCACCACTAGCTAGACAGGATCTGTTCTCTAAAAAAGATAAAGCATAGAAAAGGTTCGTTTGGAGTTTGTAGCTGAATATGCCTTCTATAAAATATTTCATTATGAATGAATGATATATTACTATTACATATGAAATTCTACTCACTCCCTCACTCCCAAAAAAAAAAATCCTCATGTCTCTAAGCACTTAATACTTAAATAGTTTTCTACTATTTACCATATAACTCTTTATTATATAGTTATTGGTCTTAGAAAATGAATATGTGTCACTACTGTAGGCTAATAAAGATCTCTGTACTGGCTGCAAATGTTACTTTTATAATTAGTGGAATTCTATAACCTGAGGTATCTGAAAGGGAAGAACAATATATAGGTGTGAATGTCAAATTATCCTTTTAAATACCCTTCTGTTCAGGCTTTCTAGAAACATGAATGAAAGCAGTTGATTCATCCTTTATCTTCCTTTGCATGAAAAAAAAAAAAGAAATCCAGCATGCAAAACTACTTGATCTTTAATCAAAATATAAAGTTCCTTTCAACACAGACACATGAAGAGAGATGCAGACTCATGCACACAGTTAATCTGGAAAATTGAGAGGAGTCCCTTCCCCTTTTCTTCTCAGTAGCAGAGTTTATTGCCAGTTTTAGCTTCCACTTTTTTTTTTTTTTTTAATAAACATAAAGGCACAGTTGGTGATGGTGGTTAAGGTAGAGCCAGAATGAAGGGCATTAAGTTTGTTACTGTGGTCTGGAATGTAAGCTCCTTACCAAATCCTCATAGAAGTGATGTGAGAACATTCAACTTCCTTACCTTTCTCCTGCATTTCTGCCTAGAAGAAGTGAGCTTCCTTAGTTTTTCTCCCTCGTGACTCAGAGGTGCTGCCACCTCATTTTCTCAAGTAAGAAGCAGAGGATGATGTAATCTGCAGATGTGATTGGTGTATTGATTTCTTTAGAGGGGAAGTTTTTTTTTTTTTTTTTAATCTTTAGGGGGAAAGACCTGTCTTTGAGAGAAAGATTTTTATGATTATGTGTGATTAATAGCATACTTCACACTTAAGATTACAAGATGATGAAAATCAAGCTTGATTCATTTAGGAAAGCCGGCAAGGATTGACTGTGATTTTGCCAAATTGTAGTTTTACCAAGGACTGTCACAGAAATCATGTCACTGGGCTTGCACTGCAGCATGATGAGGTAGGTAGGACAGCACTTCTCATTCCAATTTGTAGCTGAAACAACTGCACCTTCCCAGAGATGTGCTTTTTCAGTCACGTGGGTAGCATGTCTCATAACTAGACCTCACACCTGTTGTTATTGTTAGATGCTATAGAGTTGGCCATCTACTCATGATGACCCCAAATACAATGGAAAGAAATACTGCTTGGTATTGCACCATCTTCACGATCCATGGCAAATTGGACAAGTGTAGTCCATAAGGTTTTAACTGATTGCAGAAGTAGATTTCTAGGCCTTTCTTCCTAGTCAATCTTAGTCTTAGCTCTGCAGAAATTATTCAGCATCATAACAATATGCAAGCCTCCACTGACAGATGGTTGGTGGCAGTGCATGAAACATAGTGGTCAGGAATCTAAACTGGGTCTCCTGCCTAGAAGGCAAGAATTCTTCCATTGAATCACCAATGTCCTCATACCTCAAACCTACCTTTTCTAATTCAAATGTACAGACAATCTCCGGGTTACTAACTTTAGACATGGATAACTCACACTTGCCCTTAAATGTTATATAACTTTGTGCCCTCACTTTGAAACAATTGAACCAGTCCCTACTGGCAATAAAATTCTTCATCACAATCACCTTCACTTGCTGCAAGTGCAGGTTTCAAATCATTGAAAAGGCATTGAGCCTTTTCTTGCATTAACTCACCCACTGCCGTTGAGTCGATTCCAACTCATAGTGACCCTACAGGACATAGGGTTTCCGAGGCTATAAATCTTTATGGAAGCAGACTGCCTTGTCTTTCTCCTGCGTAGCAACTAGTGAGTTCAAACTGCTGACCTTTTCGTTAGCAACCAAATACCTTAACCACTGTCACCAGGTCTCCTTCTTGCACTAACGTAAGGCTAAGTAAGAACTGTATGCCCTTTTTCAGACTTACATCCAAATTAAATTTACAGATATGCTTACAAACAGATCTTGTTCATAACTTGGGGTCTACCTGTATTGCATTTCTACTGATCCCTATTCCCCTCTCAGCTAAGATGTATCCATGTTTGCCTGCTACACTTTTGTTTTAATATGGTTGAATTATTTCAACTAACTTAACTTTAAAAAAAAAAAAAAAACTAGCAAATAATCTAAATTTAACTATACTTTCTCCTGAGACTTTAGGTAGATAAAATACCTAAAAGTAGTTCATGTTTAGCAACAAGTAAAATTAATCTAGAAATATATGTATGTATGTATGTACAACTCACTGCCGTCAAATCAGATCCGACTCAAAGCAACCCCTCCTTGGGTTTCCAAGGAAATATCACTACGGAAGTAGATTGCCCAACCTTCCTTCCAAGGAGTGGCTGGTGGGTTGGAACCACCAGCCTCCTGTTAGCAGTTAAATGTCTTAGGCACTGCACCACCAGAGCTCCCATATGTATGTATAGATATTTATTTATTAATTTATGGAAAATATATATTAACTACTAAAAAATGCTATAATTTAGTATTACCTTTGCATTAAGTGGTACTCTCCAAAAATCACACTCACTACCATCAAGTTGATTCCAATTCACAGCATCTCCCATTGGGTTCCCAAGGCTGTAAATCTTTACAGAAGCCGACTGTCTCATCTTTCTTCTGCAGAGTGACTAGTGGGTTCAAACCACTGACCTTCTGGTTAGCAGCCAAATGCCTTCACCACTACACCATCAGAACTCCTTAAATGATACTATAGTTACCTAAAATAGCTTTATTAGTGAAAAAGGACCTACTGAAAGATTGTTTATGGCAAGATAGATGAAAACACAATAAACCCTTTTTGATCCTTGTGCCTAGAGGAAGAGGTGGGGAGTCAGTGACTATTTAAATGATATAGGAAGACGAGAAAGAAGGGAAGCAAAAGGTGGCAGGCTGCCATCATTTTAACTATAGTTTAAATTTATATTTTAAAACATTAATAATAATTTGTATGAATCAAGTAATTTGGCTTCATGCATTGCCCTAAACAAAAATGGGAACTACTCAGAGGTGGAAAGATTAGTGACAAAGAAGCAGGGTTTGAACTGATTAATTCTGGTTCAACCGCCTGCTGACAATTTCATTTTCACCCTAGTCTGATTCAGTATATCTGGAATGGGAAGAATCACCTGAAGATGTTAAAACATAGATTCTGATTCAGTATATCTAGGGTGGAAAAGCAAATTCTCAGCAGGAGTTGAACCAGAATGAACAGTTTGAAGCCCTGCAAAGAAGCCTGCTTAGTGGTAGCAGCTGCTTCTTAGGAAATAAATGATCCCAAATTATATTATACAGTTCAGTGTACTATGTAATATTAAGTAGATATCCTCAGACAGTGTGGTCAGGAGCATCTGAGGAGATTACTAAGATTTCAATTATAGACCCTCCTTCAAAGTTAAAAATCTCTGGGTGGCACAAATGGTTTGCCATAAGCTGCTTACCAAAAGTCTAGTGGTTCCAACCGACCCAGTGGCACTATGGAAGAAAGACCTGATAATCTACTATCATAGAGATTACAGCCAAGGAAACCCTAAAGCACTCATTTCTATTCTGAAACACATGGGGTTGTCATGAGTTGTAATCAATAGCAACCATTTGATTTCTGATTTTTGGTTCTCCATGGTGGAGGAGCTCTAGTGGCATAGTGCCTAAGACATTTGACTGCTAACCAGAGGGCTGGTGGTTCAACCCACCAGCCACTCATCAGAAAGATGATTAGGCGATCTACTTCCGTAGTGATACTGTCTCAAAAGGGAGCTCTGGTAGCGTAGTGCCAAAAGCACTTAACTGCTGACCAGAAGGCTGGCGGTTCAAACCTACCAGCCACTCCTCGGAAGGAAGATGGGGCAATCTACTTCCGTAATGATACTGCCTCAGAAACCCAAGGAGGAGTCGCTGTGAGTCGGATTTGACTCAAAGGCAGTGTGTTTGGTTTGGTTTTGGTTGTGGTGGTCCTGATTGACATGATGGGATCCAGGAATCCGTATTTTAATACGCTAGGTGATTCTTATAGTGGTGGTCTGAAGACCATACTTTAAGAATTTCTAATTCAAGTGGTGGTCATTCTTTAAAAATATTAGTGTTTCTCTGCTTTCTTACTAAGAGAAGGAAAATAGATGTCTCCAATTAAAATGGTCATAATTTGTGTTTAAACTCCAAAAAGCAAACTCACTGCTATCAAGTTGGATCCAGCTCATAGTGACCCCTCCTTGGGTTTCTGAGATAGTATCACTACGAAAGTAGATTGCCCAATCTTCCTTCCAAGGAGTGGCTAGTGGGTTTGAACTGCCAGCCTTCTGGTTAGTAGTCAAATGCATCAGGCACTATGCCACCAGAGTTCCTAATTTGTGTTTAATAATGGATTAATATTATGTGAAATGTTGACCTTTTCTCAAAGACAGAATGAAAATAATGTACTGAATAAAGGGATTTACCAAACTTAATCTTTGCTTTATTAAAAGAAAATTAATGTAGTCTGTATCCACAGTCTGGTCAAATTAGTGGGAATTCCATATCTATTCTTTTAATCTACATTCACTCAGCTATTCTTTCAATTGCTTGTCTAGAGTGAATTCATCAGATTTTGCCCTATCTTGTTTTTGCAAGAAAACTGTATAGTGATACTGATGCTCTTTTCAGGATAGGGTGTGGGCCAGTGTGGGGAAGAGCCTGAACTGCATTATTGCCATGGTGGATAGACTAATTGAAGGAGATGGTTGTAGTGAAGGCAGTGGCGGCAGCAACAAAGATGAAGAAAAGGACCCTTCTCAAGCAAACTCCATCATATCTCACCCAAGAGGTAAGAAACTATTTTCTCTCAATCATGATTGAGTAAATAAAATGAAAGATCATGCATGGTAAAGTGAGATAGAAAAAGAGGAGTCAATAGTGCCTTTGATGAAAGTGCTGATAGAATGCTTTTCCGCTCCTCTGGCTTGGATGATGGAAGGCTATTTATCAAATTGTGTTTCAGTTGTGTTTTCAGAACTGTTTGAAATGCTCTTTTTTTTTTTTCCTATTGCTACATAAAAACTTTCTTGAAAGAAGAGAAGTGGTTTTTCTTTTTTTTTTAAAGAGGTCTGACATGCTTTAATTTGCTTTTACAAAGTTCCCCCAAATTTTGTTAGGAAAGAAAACAGGTATCTGCCCTTAACCTTTGGAAACCTTGAGGGATATCAGAACACAATAACTCAAAATAGCCTCTGAACAGAATACAAGATGATAGAATGTTTTGACTGTATTCTGAGGAATATTTTTGTGAATTTTCTCAAAAATACATAAGAGAGTTCGACTCTGAGGAAAGTGCTTTTATATTATTTCAATAAC